AAATCGAAAGCATGGGTGAACATGCTAGGCGGCAACTTGATTTGGAGCTGCACTGTCCTCCCCTCCACATCCTGCTACAATCAGGCAACCCTACAATCCCAAGCCCCTTTCCATGTCGGCCTCTGCACCCACATACCCTCCCAGCCTAAACCCCCAACACCTTAAACTCTAAACCCTAAACCCAAAACAAGACCCGGCTCAGTCCTTGTTGCTCTTCCACTCGTCGTCCAGGCCGGTGAGGAAGGCAACCTCCGCCGGCAGGTAGACCTGCCCGGAATTCTTCGAAAAAGGGTTTAGGCTTTAGGAGTTTGGCTTTAGGCTTTAGGGTTTAGGGTTTAGGCTTTAGGGTGTAGGGTTTAGGCTTTAGGCTTTAGGGTTTAGGCTTTAGGGTTCAGGCTTTAGGCTTTTAGGCTTTAGGGTTTAGGCTTTAGGCGTTAGGCTTTAGGGTTTAGGGTTTAGGCTTTAGGGTTCGCTTAGGACTTCCGGTGTTCAGGCTTCCAGGTGCAGGGGCTTAGGGCCTATGTAGGGCCTGGAAAGCTTAGTAAGCACGGGGATTTAGAGTCGACGGGGCTTCTGGGGGGCCAATATAAGGCCTTCATAATTAGAATAGGGCTTTGGGGGGTATAATCTACTATAAGTATGATAAGGAACTCCCAAACTGGTATAGGCAATTCTTCAGGCCCCTCTAGTCGGGTTCAGGCTTTTGGGATTTGAGTTGATGCGAGTTAGAAGGCGAAGGGCTGAGGATCGAAATAGTCATAAGGACCCTTAGCGGGGTAGGGGGGAGGCGGGTAGGGGGCCTTCAATACCTGTAAGAAGGGCCGAAGAAGGCTTATTTAAGGACGTATCGTCCCCTACCCCCCTTCCCCCTTACTAACCCTCCTACAGGTCGTCCCCTAAACCCTACCCTAAACCCTAAACCCTAAACCCTAAACCCCTAAACCCCTAAACCCTAAACCCTAAACCCTAAACCCTAAACCCTAAACCCTACGAAGTAGGCACAACTGGAGCTCAACGATCTTCCGCTGCACCGCAGCCGCAGAGAGCCCCTCTCTAGGGGGAAAATATCGGCACCACTCTGCAGGCCCTAAACCCTAAACCCTAAACCCTAAACCCTGTGACTAGACTACCTGTAGCCGAAAAGACCTATGTTTCTAGGGTTTTGGTTTAATGGTCTCTGCATATAGTTCCTTGAAAAGGTAGGTCTTTTGGGATACAGGTATACTCTGATATACCCCCAAAGCACCTGTTCTAAATATTAAGGCTTCTGTGTTAAACCCTTACACAAGTACAGAACCCCTACTACAGAAACCCTAGTCTAAGGATATAGTATATTTTCGTACATTATAAGCGTAGTAAAACATGATCTAGTATATTACACTACAGTGTAGTACGGTATATTATAGCGTGCTGCATGAAATTCTTATAACCTTCGGACTAAGCCGCGCCTCAGCCTTGGCACGGAAAGGGCAGTAGAGCAGCCTAAAGGGACATCAACACAATTCAGCGGCTTCAAGGTTTGTTTAGGGGTTTAGGGTTTAGGGTTCAGGGTTTAGGGTTTAGGGTTTAGGGTTTAGGGTTTAGGGTTTAGGGTTTTTAGGGTTCAGGGTTTAGGGTTAGGGGTTTGGGGTTTCCGGTTTAGGGTTCAGGGTTTAGGGTGTAAGGCTGGGGTTGAGGAAGAGCCTTCGAGTAGCTTAAGAGTGCTTCCGGAAGGCCCTCCAAAAGCAACAAAATAAGACAAGGCTTTTGGTGAAATTGCTGGAGGGAGTCATCGGAGGAGTCATATCCGTCCTTAAGACAAAAAGCCTTAACCGTAGATCCTAATTCTTCAGGTTTCTGTCTCGCAAAATCGGGCTTCGAGCATTCGGACTGCAGACCTTCTTAGCCTTCAGGCCGCCTCTGTGCCAGGAACGGATCACAGCGCCCAAAAAGAAAGGAAAGGCAGGCCTGCATCAGTCAGCAAATTATGAAATGACACGCGCAAAGGCACCAGAACTCCTGAGCGGAGTTATGTCAACCTGAAACGCGTGAGTCCCCACACCCCAACCCCCATGAAAGTGGCGGAAGACTGTTGAGGAGGGCCAGAACTCCTGAGCCCTGCAAAGACCAAACCAGCCCACCCATCGCATCCAGCTCACAAGTGCCATGAAGTCTAATGTCACTAATTAGAATAGGGTTTTGGGCCTCAGTATACTATATTTATAACAACGAACCCTAGGGAATTCTATAGGTAATGATTTAGGCTCCTATTTTAGCACCTCTTGTGGGTCTCTATCTTCAGGTCGGCAACGGCTGTTGCTGCTGTAGCACGATGCCGTGACGACGCTGGAAGTACTCCTGCAAAGCTTGTCTAATCCACTCTGCATGTCAGCAGTGTCCACGGGTATGTAGATAGATAGACAGATAGATAGATAGATAGATAGATAAATAGATAATGCATAGATACATAGATGGATAGATAGATAGATAGATAGGCAGATAGGTAGATAGATAGATAGATAGATAGATAGATAAGTAGATAAGTAGATAAGTAGATAGATAGATAGATAGATAGATAGATCGATAGATCGATCGATAGATGGACGGATGGATGGACGGATGGATTGACGGATGGATGGATGGATGGAT